GAGCTATTTGGCCAGCCCTCATATAGTTTTATTAAATTGTGATAAATGAGTTTAAACATGGAAATGTTACAAGGTTATGATATTTCATTAATTAATTTAAATTAGTTGTTTACATTACCAAATGCAAACATACAAAATTGGAAGAATAAAACAAAAAAGAAAAACATTTAAGCATTGACTGCTCCTTTCAATAGACAAGCAGAAATCAATAGTAAAATGATATAAGCTATCCTGTATATATACATAAACATATCATTTTCCCTTCTTTCTTTTGTTCTTTTCTTTACCCCACTTTTTTCTTCTTTTTCAACAGACTCTTTTCATTTCAGAATATCTGTTGTACCTTTCAGATTTTATGTATTCATTCAGATTCTTACACCAAAAAGATAATATGAAGTTTGCATAAGTGGGTCTGACTTAATTCACATATGACTATCATCTCAAATTATATGCATTTATTATAGTACATTTACATTGGCAAATTGTAAGTTCCCTCTGGGTAGAACAATCTGGTTTTCCTACTAAGAAATGCTCAGTCACTATGTAGTCCATGTAATGTCACTAGAAATGAAAGTTTATACATCAATGACCTATGAGATACATCTATGAAAAGGTGTATTGTTCTTGGATCACATGCTATTAAAAGATGACAACATTAGGGAAATGCTTCTTATGTCATTTGATATCTTATATTTAGATAAAGATAAATATGATAAATTAGAATGTTCTTTTGTAGTAAGTTTAACATATAATCATGTTTCTAATATAATAATGCCATCATAACTGTATCAAAATGCTATATGCTGCCTTCAATCTCAAGTTTTTTTGATAAAACTTTATAAATGTTATCTGTGGATATTCTGCTGCAGTTTCACTTCTAAACAACCTTGGTTAATAAGAAATAATAATTTCCAGTCATGTTAAATATGATCATAAAATTAAACCTACTTTTGCCATTAAAATGATGATGTGACTTCTACACCTGGATGTTCAACAATTGATGTTGAGAGACCAAAGCAAAAGCAAGTGGGCTTAGTGTACCATTAGTATTTTGGCACTGACCCTCCAAGTTCTATAGATACTTAAGACAAAAGGAGCCTTTTCCTAATAGAACCTATAATTTTGGTAAAGTGTACAATCTCTTGAGAAAAGATATTGGTACAAGCCCAACCAGAGATCAAACCCTACAGTGTGCTAGAAAAGAGAGTCACCGAAGAGGAAAAATATCTTCCCAGATTGTATGGGAGCCACATGGTCACTCAAGACTATAACCCATCCTAGTGGGCCAATGACAGAAGAGCTAAGTAGCTCCACACATAGTCCACAAAATCCTCTAGAAAGCATTAGCCAACTTGGTATTTGGCAAGAGGTTTATTTTGTGGAGTTCAGGTCTTTCTCCACTTTGGTCTTAAATACCCAACAGAAAATGAAAAGCAAAGATGTAAGTATTGATAATATAAGCTAAACATAAGTAAAGAGGCTGTAATCATTCACCCCTGCTGGCAGTTTCCAGCCATACTTACAGACAAGTCAGAACCCACTGGATGCATGTGCCCTCTCCATTGCCCTCTCATGTTTTAGTCAGATGTGCTTTAATTTTTTCGTGGAACTTTCATGGTATATTTTCATCAGTGTCTGCCAGCTGCAAGAGATCACATGCATGGCCTCTACATCTCAGTATATCCAAGCTAACAGCTATTCATTGGAGACTTCCTTTTTCTGGCTTATAAACATGTGAATGGTATCAAAAGACAGATGATCCTATAGAAAACGCTTTCACAGATCTACCAACACCCTTCTATCATAGCCATGTAACCTGAATTTCCTCAAAACGGTTACCCAAAAGCCCCACATTACCCGCAACCTCCAGGAAGTGGCAAGAACAGTTTGTCCCATATTTCCTATCCTACAACAATAGGATGATTGAGTCAGAGAGAGGATGTATGGATAGTTAAAGAGAAAGTAGGTAGAGAAGTTATAGGACATGACCTGGGTGGCTGGTGACTGTGTATTTACCATAAGCTATACCACACTCAGTAGCTGAGTAAGACAACTTCTCTGAAATTTTTACATATGCTCATTACTTGTCCTTCAGTACCTGACCTTTCCTTATGGCAGAAACAATGACTGAGAACCTGATTGGCTTAGATTCCACCAATCAGTGAAATGGTTACTTTTAGAAACCAGTTTAACCCTATAAGTATGAGCAGATTCCAGGTCCCAAGATGGGAAATTTGTTCAAATTATCCTGCCTTTTAACACTTTCTGTCTTTTGGCAGCTATTGCTTGCATTTGCAACCTTATAAATAAACTTATGCTCTACAGGAATGTGTTACAGTGTTTAGGCTTTAGAAAAACAGTTCATAATTTACTGGATTTGAAGGTGCGTTAGTTCATGTTCCCATATTCAGACAGCCCTGAAATTTGCTTCTTCATTTTCCTGGAAGTAGCACCTTTCAAAAATGTATATGAAACTCTTTGCCAAGGACTGATCATCTAGTTGCCAATCACGTTGCCTTCTGCATAATACTCTTTCAGCTGATTCTTACTTATTACTTTCTAATTTGTCCAATTGGAATTCTGTAAGAGATTGGAGTTTTTAGCCCAATATAGCCCCATTCCTGGCCAATTCCCAGGATCAGTCTCACTTCCTGGTCAGGTTTATTTTGACTTTTATTGATTAATAATAAAAAATATTTAAGGTCAAGAGAAGTTGGATTTTGGAGGTCTAGTAATAATAAACTCTTGTTAAACCTTTTATGTATCTAAGGCACTTGGTTATATGCTGGACAATAATCATAACATCCCTGGGCCCCAGGTCCCTGCTGCCATTATCTCTAGTACATGGACCTGAGCTAGTTGTTGCCCATTTCATGACAATATATACCATAAGATGGTCTATTTTAGAAACTGAAGAATTAACACCATCTGTCAGGAAATGTGTCCTGGATCATGATATTAATGGGAATATACACTGTATTCCATGTCTGCTGTGTGTAATATATTCTTCACTGTGCATAATGAGAGTTACTGAATAGGACTGGTAAAAAGAATGCACAGGTTTCCATTCAATATCTCTTCCTTTCTTTGTGTTTATTTTATCCATACATTGCTGGATTGGCTTTTCTTACCACCTTTCCAGGATGATCTTCTGCATGATACTCTTTCAGGCCATTCTTGAGTGTTACTGTCCATGTGATTTATTCATGTACTATTAACCTCCAGTCTCTGTGAGGACAGATTTTCTCTTGTTGAGTGTTAAATGAAATATTGATGTGCTTGGCATACACCTCTTAAATATTTTATATTTATTTATATATTTATTGTATTTTAGTAAGGGTCTACATGGTCTCATTATGTAGATCAGACTCGTAGTGAGCCTCCTATTTTCAGCCTCCCAAGACCTGTGATTGCAGGAGTGTGCCACCCTGCCCAGTGTCAATCGTCATCTCAGAGCACCCTGGGGGTGGGGTCCAAGATTGAACCCCAGTCGCTTAGTCTGCCTAAGAAGCCACTTTAATCCACTGAGCTATTTTTCCAGCCCTTTGTATGTTTTAATAGAATCATAAATCTTAAGAGCTGCATTACTACAAGATATCACCATGATTGTGAGAATTTCTGCTCTATCTATTCATGTCCTCAGCTGTCTGGTGAAATGCATATATGAGTTGGATGAAGCAAGGGTGGAAGACTCAGATTGCTTTTATTTTTTTATTTTTTATTAATATTTTCCAGTATATATTGCCCTATAAAATAAGATCTTACTACAGAAATAAGTATATAATTTCTTTACATCACCTATTAATGCAGTATAAATATTGTTGAAATATATGATTCACTGCTGCAGATTTTTGAAATCTGCAACTTGGAAACATGATTTATCATATTTTTTGTCATTTTTTAGAAGGTATTGAAATAATCTATCCCATACTAAGTAGCTGAGTAAGACAATTCCTCTAAAATTTTTACATATGCTCATTAATTGCCCTTCAGTACCTGACCTCTCCTTAAGGCAGAAATAAAAGCTAAGAACCTGATTGGCTTAGATTCCACCAAATCAGTGAACTAGTTACTTTTAGAAACCAGTTTAACCCTATAAATATGAGCAGATTTGCATTGTCATACTCATGACTTCCTCTAATTCTGTTACTTTTCCAGATTGTGATCTTTAAAAAGGAACTTCTAGTGATATGTGAGCCTATAGCAACTTCACAGTATTTCCATGCCTTAGTTATTTGTCTTTGCAAATGCAACCACCTAAATAACGTTGAAAACAATGCAGTCATATCTTTTGTTTTATTAGAATATTTTAAAATTATCCCTCAGAATTACTTTAAATACAATTAAACTATAGATTGATAGTACAGAAATAATCTGAAAAACCAAATTTGTAAATCAATTGCTGATTTACTTAATCCCATTCTTTTAATGCACTGTATTTAAATCTATTAACATCATTTCTTTAAAAATTTCCAGCATGTGTCATAACTTGCAGAAAAAAGATTTTATGTTATAATTTTATGCAATGTATACACATGAGAAACAAGATAATTTCATCTTCTGTATTTTGTGAAAGTGTCTGATTCATAAATGACAGAGAGAGATAGATAATTAGATTAAAATATTGTTGTTTCTAGGCACATTGTGTTATGAAACCCTGAAAGATTGACTAAGTGAATACAGATAAAACACCAAATGAAACAGTGGAGTCTGAAAATTAAAACTGAGAGAAAAATAGAAAAGCTCTTTCTGTAATTAGACAGTTGTATTACAGAGGTAGGTGGGATCCAGGAAGACCTAGAATCCAGCCACAACTGGGGAGCATACTTGAAGACTTGAGGAGTCCATAAGAAGTTGTATGGGAAAATGACACATTTGGCTGAATCTATATTTTGGTGAAGGTAGAGTGTCAGTTGAAATTAAACAAGAAATAAGTAATATTTATGACCAGACATTTTCTGTCCTTGTCTCTTCAGATAATTCTGTATGCTTCTGCCCACATGAAGATGAATAAAAACAGATTTTCCAGTTTTATTTATGTAAAACACATAGCTGTCTTTGAAATCAGCATCGGGATCATTGCCAACATAGTTCTGCTTCTCTTTCAAGTTCTCACATTTCTTCTGGAGCGCAAGGTCAAACCCACTGATCTGACCATTGGTCACTTGGCCTTTATCCACCTAGTGATGCTGCTGACTGTGACTTTCATAGCCATAGACGATTTTGGTTATCAGGTTTTGGGAGATTATATCACATGTACATCTGTTATCTATTTAAACAGGTTGACTCGGGAACTCTCAATCTCTAACACCTGCTTGCTGAGTGTCCTCCAGGCCATCACCCTCAGCCCCAGAAGTTCCTGTTTGGCAAAGTTCAAACAGAAATCTCTACATCAGAACCTGCTTTGCTTTCTCTTTCTATGGGTCTTCAATAGTATCAATAGTACTCGGATCTTAATCTCCACTGTTGCCACTCCCAATGTGACCTCACCTAGTTTTATGTTCCTTACTAAATCCTGCTCTCTTTTTCCCATTAGGTCCTTCCTCAAATATATATTTTTGTCACTAGTAGCTTTCAACTACATGACCTGTATAGGTCTCATTTCACTTTCAAGTGGGTACATGGTGATTCTCTTGTGCAGGCATAAAAGACAGTCCCAACATCTTCACAGGACCAGCTTATCTCCAAAAGTATCCCCAGAACAAAGGGCCACCAAGACCATTTTGTTGCTCATGAGTTTCTTTATCATTTTTTATAGTTTGGACTGTATTATCCGGCCCACATCTTCAATTGTGTGGAGCAATGACCCAATTCACAATTGGGTGTTAATGCTGGTTGGCAATAGTTATGCCACAATCAGTTCTTTGTTGCTCACCAGTAGTGAAAGAAGAATGACCAAGTGCTTCATATTCGTGTTGAGGAGGGACGGTAAATGATTGTTTACACATTGAAAAGCATATTTAATGAATAGACATATTTACTTGACATATGTTACTGAAAAACATATATTAGATCATTTAACAGTATATCTCTCTGAAGAAGCACAGGTTGATAAATTGAACCTTATTTTTAAGCACTAAATATCTTAGTTTCAAATTTTAAAGAACATGGTGTTTTAAAATTTTAAATAACATGATATACATTACTGGTTTTGTAGAAGGGACCAAATACAAGATTGAAGGAAGCATTGCAAATGTACAGAAAAAAATGGTATGCTATTCTATTTTTATTTTCATGTGTGCTAATTATGATGGCATTTATTGGTTTGTACGTTTCACGTATACACTTATTTTAAGTACACTCAAGAACCTTTTTTAAAAAATTAAAAAGAGAAAATCTGTATGAACAATTCGATGACTACAAACTTATTAAATTACACATGAGATATCATAGTGTCTTGGAAATATAAATAACGTTGCATGATATAACTTTAAACCTTAAAGAACGTAGACAGACCCTGAGTGGCTCACGGGACTCTAGAAAACTGTGATCCATGGGCCCAGGGTGCATAGGCATGGACCTTTCTTGGTGCCATTTAAGAAATTTGGAGGACTCTGGGCATCCTGCAGCACTTGGTATATTCTGAACCTAGGCGCCCCCCCTCCCCCGTGTATGTACAGGCATTGAGTTTATGCTGGTGCCTTCCAAACTTTTAAGAACATAAGAGGACTCTGAGCAGCCTGGAGAGCTGCAATCTGTGGGTGCAGTGTGCACAGAAATGGAGCTGTCATGAAAACTGGTCCATCCATTTAGGAACTTAGGAGAACTCTGGGTGACCTTAAGGACTCCGGTAAGCAGCTTCCCTGTGCCCCCAGTACACAGGTGAGGATCCTGTACTGGCACTGTACAAAATTTTAAGAACTTAGGAGGATTCTTTGTGGCCAATATGATCCTGGTGAATCTGGCCAACAACAATGAGCTAAACTGAAGCTTGGTTGAGTATGGGCCAGCCACCCCCACTACTAGAGAGAGCCTTTGTGAGTCCTGCCCTGCATTCCTCTGTTGCAAAAACATTACTGATACATGTCTCACCATTCTCTCACCACTGCTAATGCTGGGTGATTACTGAGAGCTTCAAAAATGCCAAAACACAGGAGCAAAAGGCAATCTCAATCCTCCAGCCCATCCAGAACAAATTCAGGAGACAAAGACATACAAGGACTTGGAAATCACACACCTGAAATTTCAGAAATGAACTGAGGCAAAGAAACAAGTCCATCAGGCTCTAGAAGAAATAAGAACAGAAATAATCTCTCAGGTCAAAAAAGAAATGACAAAAATTGTAAAAGAGAATGCTCAGCACAGATAAAGAACACATAAAGAATAGTAAAATATAAAAATGATGGAAACACTGAATGAACAATGAATTAAAAAAATTATAGTGCAGGCTGGTGAGATGGCTCAGTGGTCTAAAGCACCTACTTAGAACAAGCTTAGCAAAAAAGCACAGGGACCACAGTTCAATCCCCCAGCACCACATGCCAGCCAGCCCCGCCCCCTGGTGGGCTGAGCTGGCCACACACACACATAAATAAAATTAAAAAAAAATTATAGTGCATGAGACAGATTAAAACAATATCCAGAAAATTAAGAATTCCATTGAAAACTGGAAAAAAACACTTAAATGAAACTGTAGTTAGATTTTTCAGATGTCATAGAGAGAAGTGCAGCTAATGAACATGAAAGAAAAGATTTCTTAAAACTAACAGGGCACCAGGAAATAACAATTAATCATCTACAGGACGACACAAAAAAAAATAATGTGAAAATAATAAGTGACAATAAAGCAGTGGGAGACAGCATTAATGACATATAAATAGTATTTGCAAAACTACTATAAGAAAATTTTCCAAACATGAGAAAAGAACCAGACATAAAGTGAAGCAAAGCAAATAAAACTCCAAAGAAACATAATCAAAATAAATATACACATAACCAAATAATAACCAAGATCTCAGAAATTCATCAAATGAATAAAATATTAAAAGCTTCTAGAGAGGAGAAAGAGATCACCTATAATGGGAACACAGATCATGAAATCAAGAAGAGCCTGGAGTGAAATATTTAAGGACTTGAGAAAAAATAACTTAAAACCCAGAGTTATGTGCTCTGCAAAACTATGAAATTCAATGGTAAGATAAGATCCTCCCATGACAAAGAACTACTGAAGAAATTCATGACCAACAAATCAATCCTACAAAGAGTAGTGACAGATATTCTAGAAAAAAACAGAAAGAACGACAGAATCAAGAAAACAGAAATAAACTGCCACACAGAGCAATCAATTATGAGCAATCAATTGTGAGAGAAAAAATATGGAACCTGTAGAATGAAAATAATGTAACAAAACAAGCCAATACATATTAGTTATAACCATCATTTTAAGTGGCCTTTGTTCACCAATCAAATTAAACAGACTACCACAGTGGATTAAGAAACAAAATCCTGTGGCTGGGGATATAGTTTACTGGTAAAAGTTCCTGTATAGCAAGCACAAGGTTCTGAGTTTGATCTCTGGTTCTGGGGAAAAAACAAACAAACAAACAAGAAAACCTAATTATTAATTTTTAAAAAAGAAACAAAATCCAATAATATGCTGTGTGCAAGAGAACACATTTATCTCAAAAAGAAATTCACAGACTGAAAGTCAAAGGATGGAAAATACCTCATGTCCCTAAAATAAGAAAAAATCAGAGGTAGTTATTTTGGCTGCTGAAAATATCAACTTCAATGCAAAAATCATTCAAAGGATAAAGAAGTTCACTTAATACTCATTAAGGGAAAACCATAAAAAGGAAGAGATAATTATAAATGTATATGCACCCAAATTAGGAGCACCTACAAAAGACAAATATTAACACATGAAAAATCTAATGAGATTGCTATTTGTTTATCAATAAAATTATGGTAAAAAAAAGAACAAAATAAAAATAAAAATAAAAAATTAGATTTGGGGATTAGGTTTTCAAACAGTTTCTAAAGATTTGCTTTTGGTAATCCAAAATAATTTTTTTTGGTGGTACCAGGGATTAAAATCAGGACCCTGAACTTGCCAGGCAACCAAAGTGATTTTTAATTAAAAAAATGTTAAATTTGTAAAAAGAAAAAAAGTCACATGAGATCCAATACTATTGTAATGGAAGACTTTAACATACCACTGTAATAAAGAGATCAACTAGACAGAACAAAATCTGCAAAGAAATAACAGAACAAAACCAAATTTGTGAAAAAATGAACTAGGTAGAACTTTACAAAGTTTTTCACCTTACAACAACAGAATACACATTTTTCTCAGGTATACATGGAACATTCTCCAAAATAGACCGTATACTAACACAAAGAGCATTCTTAACTAAATGCAAGGAAATTAAAATTATCCCATGCATACTAGCCAACCATAGTACAATAAAACTGGAAATTGTTGACAAAAGAAACTGAAAATTCACCATAAACACATAGAAATTATATAACAATCTCCTAAGCAATTAGTAGGTCAGAGATGATATCAAAGAAGCAATTAACAAATACATACAATCAAATAAAAATGCTGACACGCCTTACCAAAACATCTGTGATACAATGAAAGTTGTCTTAAGAGCAAAAGTTATAGCGGTAAATTCACACCACATTAGGAAAACAAAAGCTCAAGTAAATGATGTTCTGCTGCACCTCAAGTTCTTACTAAAAGAGCCAGTCAAGCATAAAGCCTAAGAAGACAGGAAATTATAAAGAGTATAGTAGAAGTTAATGCAAGGAAGATGAAAAAAACAATACAAAGAATTCATGAATCAAAGAGCTGGTCCTCTGAAAGAAAAAATAGGATTAATAAAACCCTAGCCAAACAAATCAAAAAAAGTAAACAAAAAAACTAAATTCATAGGGCCAGCCAAATAGCTCAGTGGATTAAAGCACCTGCAAAGAGGCACAGGGGCCAGGGATTCGATCCCTAGGCCTGCTGTGCCAGTGTCACCCCCAAGGCACACTGAGACGGTGATTGAGACTGGGCATGATGGCACGTGCCTGTAATCCTAGCACCTGGGAGGCTGTAAGGAGAAGAATCACGAGTCCAATCTAGCAGTGAGACCCTGGACATCCTGTTGACCCTTCCCCCCACAAAAAAATACAGAAAAAATATTCATGCAATAAGCAATGAAAAGGGCAACATCACTGCAGACCCTAGAGAAGCACAGAAAATCACCAACACTTAATGCCCAAATTTTTATACCCGCAGGATGGAAACACAGAGGAAATGGATAGTTTCCTAGATACATATGAAATGCCACATGTGAGTCAAAAACAGACACACACTGTGAATAACCCAATTAGAGAAGCAAAATTGAAAATGCAATAACTTTTTTTTAAAAACGAGCAACAAAGAAATATCCAGGCTACAAAGGATTCACACTTGAAGTCTACAAGATATTTAGAGAAGATATTATGCCAATTATTCCCTATCTATTTAATGAAATTTAAAGTAAAGCAATTCTCTCAAACTCAAGTATTACTCTGATTCTAAAACCAGAGATTATCCAACTAAAAAACTCAACTATAGGCCAATCTCTCTAATGAATATAGATGCAAAAATCCTCAAAACAAAATGCTGCCAAAAAGAATCCAGCAAATCATTGAGATTACTCATCACCACCAACTGGAATTCATCCCAGGAATGCAAGGATGATTCACACATGCAAGTCCATAAATGTATTACACAACATCTTTAGCCAAAAACAACATGATTATCTGAATAGATGCACAAAAATCTATTGAAAAAGTCCAACACTCATTCATGATGAAAACCATATAGAGAATCAGAACAGCTAATTTATATCTCAACTTGATAAAATCCATCTATGAGATGCAAAGAGCCAACCACATACTAAATATTCAAAAACAAAAGTCCTTCATTTTAAAATCACAAACAAGACAATGATGTCCT